AGTGAAGGAGTATAATTGCTGTCAAGCTAAGGGAGTAAATGAAGTAGCATTTCTAAAAGTTACTGTAGACCAAGCACTGTACAGGGTGCCCGATGTATTACCTTAAATGGTGTCTTTGGTTACCTTTTCTATACATGAGTGCTACTCGTGGTGGCGCACGCCTTTAATCCCAGCACTCGGGAGGCAGAGGCAGGCAGATCTCTGTGAGTTCAAGGCCAGCCTGGTCTACGTAGTGAGTTCCAGGCTGGCTGGGGCTACAGGGAGACCCTGTCTTGAAAAGACCAAAAAAAAAAAAAAAGTTGTCTTAAACTTACTAAAATTAATTTTTCACCAATTATTTTCTTGCTGTCTGCCAATAAAATGGAGCACAATCTACACACATGTGTATATGTATATTAATTGCATGCGTGTTCATTTATACATATGTACATTGGCATAAAAGCAAAAGAGGTGGAAAGGAATGAGCTGAAGAGGCCAGAAGGCAGTTGGAGGGCTGTGATGAACACAGTATGATGTGGTGCCTGTGTGCAAATATAATGAGAGTCATTCGTTTGCACATTAACTAAAAAGATTAACAGAACAAAGAAAGGAGGGGTTGGGGAGATGGCTCAGCAGTTAAGAGGAAGTGCTGCTCAGGCAGAGGACCCGGGTTTGGCTCCCGTCACCCACATCAGGTGACTCATAACTGCCTGTCACACCAGTTCCAGGGGATCTGATGCCTTCTTCTGGCCTCCCTGGGCACCTGCACACACTAGGTACACAAACTCATACAAGTACATATAATCATATAATACACATAGTTAAAAATAAAAGTAAATATTTAAAAAGGAAAGAAAGGCTGAGAATCTACCACCTAGTTCTTTTCCCATGCCTCCATTTTGGAGGAATCTTAAAGTTGTAGTCCCCCCCCCCACTGCCCCCAATGTGCTCCTGTTAATAGAATCCCAATTCTGGGCCTTAACTCATTGCTATTTTCTTTTTAAAATCTTTTCTTGGGGCTGGAGACGTGGCTCAGTGGTTAAGAGCACTGGTTGCTCTTTCAGAGGACGTGGGTTTGGTTCCTAGCACCCACATGGTGGCTAGCAACTGTCCATAACACCAGTTCCAGGGGATCTGACACCTTCTTCTGGCCTCTGTGGGCACTGCACGACATGGGTGCACTTATTATACACATGCAAGCAAAACATTCATATGAATAAAATAAAAATCAATCAATCAAAAGAATTTAAATGTTCTCTAATGTTTGAAATGCGTGAAAGTGTTAAGGAAGGAAACAGCTCCTTTCTCTGAGCACTAAGTGTGACCTGTCAGTCATCCCATTTGCTTTCTGTTTCTTTTGGACAAATCCTTGAAAGTGACATAAAAGAGGAGGAAGATGACACCATCCACATGGGGAATGCCATCATGACTTTCTACGCAGCTTTGATTGACCTGCTGGGTCGCTGTGCTCCCGAGATGCACGTGAGTATGTGTGAGGGTGAGGGGCAGCCATCTTGATTGGGCTGTCCGCACTAAGACGTCATGGCCTGGCTCACAGCAGCATCCCAGGCTAGTACTAGTCCCACTCCATTAAAAGTAATAGCTGTGGCCTGATTGCTGAACATATATTTGCTTAGTTGGAAAAGTCTCATTGGTTGTAAAACTTAGTAATGAGATTTTTCAGAACAACTCGTTAGTGGAATTTGTAGCTGCTCATGTGTCTCGAAAATCCATATGACCTCCCTGCATTTTAAGAAGATAAGAATATTCATTTTCTACACAGTTTCTTCTCCTTTTATGGAAAATAACTGCTCCCACCAGAAATTTCTTTTGTACAATATTTAGCTACATGTGTGTACCACTGGTTTAGGGAAACATGGAGTGGAAAATAGTGTTTTCTGTGGATTAGTATTTTCTGAAACTTTTTGAAAAAATGGAAACGAAAACTTTGTGGAATAATTTTACCCTGTGATACATTCTGGTGCTTGTGCTTTATTTGATTAATTAATTCTGTTTTATTCCATCACTTGTGTTTTTTAAAAAATCTAGCAACTCCTTACAAAATCATTTTTTAAAAATTTTATTGAGCTTTTGTACATTTCATACAATAGTTCTTAATCAAATTTAGGCCCCTACCCCGTCCATGCCTCCCCAAGCCCCCACTGAACCTCATGTATTCTGTCATACATGATGAGTGTGATACATTCTGGTGGTTGTGCTTTATTTGATTAATTCTGTTTTATTCCATCACTTGTGTTTTTAAAAAAATCTAGCAACTCCTTACAAAATCATTTTTTAAAAATTTTATTGAGCTTTTGTACATTTCATACAATAGTTCTTAATCAAATTTAGGCCCCTACCCCGTCCATGCCTCCCCAAGCCCCCACTGAACCTCATGTATTCTGTCATACATGATGAGTCCTATCTAGTACTGAGATGCCCCTCAGTGCAAATTCATCCACTGGAGTCTAGTCAGTCTATTTAGAGATTGTAAGGAAGGTTTACTCTCCCTCACCCAGTAGTAATCAGTCTCCAACAATTCCCAGACTGGGGCAGGCCTGCCACCCATTTCCCTGGCCCCACTCTGGGCCCTTGTCTGATTGAGTTGGCATGGATCATTTTTATAACCTGATTAGAACACAACCTGAAGTTTGAAGTACTCGGAGCAATGCCGATGTCAAAACTAAAGGCTGTCACAGCTGGGCTGTTGAGTGTTCAACGCTCCTGTCATGTCCCAAGGATAGTATTTCCCAGCAGTCTTCCTGGTCCTCTGGCCCTAACAGTCTTTCCCCCCTTCTGCTAAGATCCCTGAGCCTGGGGTATAGAAGATTGAATTCAGACGTCTCATTTAGGGATGGGTGCTCCATGATCTCTTACTCTGTCCTTTGAGCACTCTCTCTAATAACCACCAGGCTCCTGGGACACCCCCCCCCATCTGAGGAGCTACTGGCAGCTGGTGGCTACCTGGGGGAGCATTTTTGGGAGTGTGGCTACTGGTAGGTTGCCCAGGCTTCCATGGATGAATGCACACACCCAGACACATATGGATAGCATATTGGATTTAGTGGGCTATAAAAAGAAGGCATGAATTTGGGCTTGAGATGTGTTGGGGTGAGTCTGTGGGTAGCTGGAAGAGAGGATGGGTGGTGGTGTGAATATGATGATAATAAGACATTGTATATATGGATGAAATTTTCAAAGAGTATGAAAACCCTGTAAGGTCACTTTGAAGCATGCACCCAGAGCACCTGGCTTAGAGCACAGCTCTTTCGCCCCCTTGGTATTCCTAATCGATTGGTTTTCAATTACATCATTCTGCTATCTTCCTCTTAAACTCGGGATAAAACATACCCAGTGCCTTCTTCTGTTGTTACCAGAGAGGAATCACAGAATAGAGAGCTGTTAGAATAGAGAAAAGTTCTAGAATGTTTTTAAAAATCTCCGCCTTTGCTGCTAACGGGATTCCCATTTGGTAACTGGGAATAGACGATGAGTGGTCTGTGTGCTGAAGGTGGATCCAGGCAAAACACATGCTCATAATGTTTGTACTTTTTCCCATCTCACTGTGAAGATCAAGAAGTAAAAACCAAATTTTATTAATAAGAGATTTTGGTGTTATTGTCTCTATTAAGGGTGGGGAGCACTAAGTGTGTAAATAAAGGCCAGCTTCCTGTCTGAAATTCAGCCATTTTTGCCATCATTAGTTGAGCCTAGACCATTGTTTTAGACTGGGACTCCCAAAATTTAAAGTTCCTGGGTAGAGCTGAGGCAGATATTCTGCAAGTGATGCCGATTTCCCCTTGTTCTTCTTCCCATCCAGTTGATTCACGCTGGGAAGGGGGAAGCCATCCGAATCAGGTCTATTTTGAGATCCCTGATTCCACTGGGAGACTTGGTGGGCGTCATCAGCATCGCCTTTCAGATGCCAACAGTAGCTAAAGGTAAGGCCAGCTTCCATTTCCTGTGACTCAGCAGGTCTTGGGAGGACACTGTTTATGTAAACCATCTTCAGTACCCAACATCCTCTCTCCCACCTCCCTGAAGCGTGACTTCCCTGCAGAAGTTTCTTTTTGAAAAGTAAAGATTTTATGAAGTATGTTATTATATAAAATATTCTGCACTCCCAGGGATTGTTTTTAAACAACTATCTTTCCAATCAGGAGTGGAAGGTTATGTTTTTACATGACATCTGAGACCTAAAAAGAGAAGTTGGACCCCCCACTATCTCATCTGTCCCTCTGTCTCTCCCATAGTTCCCAGTCTTTGCCATTCTAGAACTTGGTCCCTTAATCCATTCTTTTTGAAGATGATCTGTGCCACTTTCTTGGGACTCTTTTCTTCACAAAGTAATAATGATAGCATTTGATTTTGAGATTGAGAACTTCCCTGTTTTCAAAGAAAGATGAGTGCTTTTCAATATTAAAGAGAAAAGTTTTAAAACATTAAAGGAATGAATGATTGGAGACAGTTAGATCCCATATGCTATTTGGTTTTAATGGTCTCAACTCTCCATGCTGTTTAACTTTCAGCACTTCATTGGTTGCTTCTACATAATTTTTATCCAAAATTTTAATTTGAGAACAAAATAGAATTAGGTGGGAAACATGCTATAGTCCTTGTCTTTAATTTTGCTTAGAGAAGGCAAGTAGTTAACAGTGCAAGGCTGCCCACCTGTGGGTACTGTGCCTACTCACCAGCCTATGGGTTCCAGGAGGTGAAGCCTCCTGTAGACTCACCCTATAAACCAAACCTACAAGAGGAACAGAGCTGCCATCAAAACTCAGTCTTCATCATACGTCCAGGGAAAGCCGTGGGACTTACCTGTCCTCTTGCCTTCTCTGCCCATCTGGGACCGTCCCGATCCTCCCCTTCCTTTCTTTGCTCTGCCTGTCTAACTCTTGTTCATTTACTTACATGAACCGTCTTTCCTTCTTCTCCATTGCGAGCCACAAAACTGACTTTGCCAGGACACACATGACAGTAGTACCAGGGACAAACAGATCAGGGATGGAGGCATATGAGGTCCATGTTAACATTCATGATCATGAAGAATCAGGAACCTAGACAATGAGTGTGCACTGGGCCCCTTTCAGAATGGCCCTCAGCCTCCATCTTCTCTGTCCTCATGTTGGCCTCCATCAGCCTTACTAAGTTTTCAGTTTGCTTCTCCCATTTATTTAACTGTGCTCTAATCAAATTATTTTTAAGACTTTCTCTTTATAAATACACAGTACATCATTTATATCAAAAATTAAAGGAGTAAATTATTTTATTGCTACTGTGGCTATTAGAGTATTGTGTCCTATATGCATTCTATAATCTTAAATGTTTCAGTGTATCTCAGCAATATCTAAGCACAGCATGGATAATTTTTAAAAATATTTAATTATTTTTTATTTTATGTGTATGAGTGTATTGCTTGCATGTATGTAAGTGCACCCATGTCATGTCTGTGAAAGTCAGAAGAGGACATTGGATCTCCTGGAATGAGACTTAGGATGTTAGTTGCCATGTGGGTGTGTGGGTGCTGGGATTTGAACCCAGGTCCTCTGCAAGAGCAGCCAGTTCTCTTAACTGCTGAGCATCTCTCCAGCCCCAAAAGCATGAACAGTGAACAAATATGAATTCATTCAACCAACCTTTAAAAAAAGCAATAATCAAAGCTGACACTGAGAGAGAAGAGTTTTACTGCTTTGTGTGGTCCACACCCCCGCAGCACTGGTGTCATCAGAAGCTCATTCAGAGGCACTTTCGGGCCAAGCCCAGGTGTCTGGTCTCAGACTTAGCGGTTAAGAGCACTAGCTGCTCCTGCAGAAGACCAAGGCTCAGTTCCCAGCACCTAAATGATGGCTCACAACACCCAAAATTCCAGTGCCAGGGGATTCACCCTCCTCTTCTGGTCTCTGTAGGCATTGCGTGCATGGGTACACTTACATACATACACACGAAACACTTCAAACACATAAAATAAAAATAAATAAGAATTTTAAAAGATTCCCAGATAATCTATTAGTACTTTAAGGTCTGAGAATACTGGTTCAGACTCTAGAAGAATAATCAGAATTTTCAAGATGTATAAGACCAGTGACACAATCCCTCTTTGTTACTGGTTATTTGTTGGGCTTCTTTATCTGCTAACTGATGGCTAATTGAGGGCAGATGCCTTTCCGTCTTTCCCTCCCTAAATAAGGCCTAGAACACTCAGTGTTTGTTGTTTTGTTTTGCCACTTGAATGCATGAATGATTGACTAAAATGAGAGTAAACTGTTTCAGAAGGCTAGAAAAAAAAAGAGTTAAAGGAATTTAAATACTTAAAATATTAAAAAATTTAAAATATCATGGTAACAATGAAAGTTAATTTTAAAAATAGAATCCACTGGTCATTAACATTATTTTTTTTTAACTTCCTTCTCTGGAGGTGGAGTCATGCAAGAAATCTGGGTTCTTACTTTACCATAGCTGCTCAGTCACCTGTAGAACTTAAATAATCTGCATCCCCTCATCTGTTTAATGAGAAAGCAGGTGGTTCTGTAAACACCAGCCAGTAGCAGGAATTTTGGTTATTACGTATTCTACATTTAGTATATGATACACACCTCTAAAGATTTCCCTCCTTTTAGTATTAGATGAGGCCGTCTTCAAACATTTTATCATATTTATTCTAGATCTTTTAACTGCTGTGTGTTCCAGTAGATTACTGAAAGTGGCTAGCAGATATGTAAAACAACCCACCATCTTCAGCTCTTGACCCAAGGAGGTTTGATTCATTGTCCTGGAACCATGATTTAGGGCAGATGAAGAGTGTGGTTGCTCCAGATGACACCAGAGAAGCCTGTGTGTTAGCTCACCTCCATCCAGTTTAGATGCTTCCTGAGGTCTAAGAGCGGGCAGGTGCTTGTGTGTTTGAAGAAGTGGAGACTCTAGCAAATCAGTGGGGTTTGCACCTTGGGTAGTTGTGACTGTGTTCATTAAAATCAATGTCAAGGGGCTGACAAGATGGCTCAGTGGGTAGAGGTGCTTGCTACCAAATCCAATGACCTAAATTAAATCCCTGGAATCCACATGGTGGAATTCCCACAAATTGTTCTCTGACCTCTGCTCACATGACAAATAAAAATCTACCTGAAAGTCCCATCTCGGTCACCTTAAAAAATCACATTATTGGGAATTTAAGGTTATTGGAGTATACTGTTGTACTATCTAAACTGGAGTTAAATAAAAAAGGGGGCCATTTGGGGTTCCAAAGAAGGTCTTTGATTTTTTGAGATGTAGTAGATGTAAAATGCACAAGTCAATAAATCTGATAAATTTTAAATAAAATAAAATCAATGTCAACTTAAATAAGAATCTCAAAAATCAAGGGACAGAGATAGTTTAAGAACTGTATTTAGTAAACCACATGACTCCAAAGAAAGTCTGGAGTAGGCTGCCCCCAAGGGATGGTAGCTGTGCGTTATACACAGTGGGTTTTCAAGGCATTTTAATGAATATTTATGGTATTCTTGGTATGTGGTATTCTATGGTATTCTTTTCTCCGAAACCATGGTAGAAGGGGCCTCCTTTGAAGGATATTTCTTCCTATGATCTTCCCGAAAAGTCCACAGAGTGGGAAAGGGGGTCAAAACCGCAGTGTAAATGACATTATCATGAAACCAAAGTCTTTTGAGAATGTCGCTTTTTCATCAGTGCACATCATATTCATACGGTACACTCCACCTTTCTTCAGAACGGAGAACCTCAAAGGGCGTCTCAGGAGACGCAGCTGCAGCTCTCGATGGCCTCCTAGCTCACTCCTTTTTGAGACTAGCCAGAGTCCTATGATTGATTTCATGAGTATCAGTTGGTTAAGATATTTTGTTGTCCTAGAGCTAAGACATTCTTCCACTTTAAAAACTGATGCCTTCTGGTGCAAGCTGGGGTCAGGGTTTTACAACAGCCTATCAGGCTGTGCAGACAGGGCCAAGGCTCAGGTTGTCTTCCACAACCCTCTTCTCCCGGCTTTAAGACCTCTTGTGTGTACTACCTAACAGTCCCACCTATGATCTACCCAGCCCAGGTACCTGGCAACACTGTAAACAACTATTCTTATAATATAAAGCAAGGAAAGTATTAGGAATTTTTTTTAAATATTCTATTTTTATTATTTTTATTTTATGTGTATGAGTGTGTTGCCTACATGGGTGTAACTGCACTTGTGTCGTGCAATGCCCACAGAGGTCAAAAGAGGGCGTTAGATTCCCCTAGAACTGGAGTTATGGATGGTTGTTAAACACCATGTGGGTGCTGGGAATCAAACCCAGATCATCTGTAAGAGCAGCCAGTGCTCTTAACCACTGAGCCACCTCACCAGGCCCTATATTAGGGATTTTTATAGTAAAGAGTAGGAGCCATTAGATCACCTTTCAATTTCATTTAAAACATTATTGTCTTCATTTTCATGGTCAGAGTATAGAATTCAACCATTGACTCCTAGTGAAAACAGAAAAGCTATCAAGCTATTATTTCAGGATGATTGTGGTCCACATCACCCTTCCTTTGTTCTTCCTTCAACACTGTATCCATGTAGACAACCCTTTCGTTCTGAGTCTTGCTGTGTGCCATCAGGACCAGTCTGGCATAAACCATACAGTCCAACAGGAAACAAATAAGCTCCCAAGTATTTTAAATTGACATATAATCCAGTAATTCCTCATAGCAATGGGACCTGAACTCTGCGTTGTTATATAGGACTCAGTGGTCTACACAGGCATCAAGGATTGAGTATTGAGAGAGAAAATGTCCAACTCTCAAGTCCGTTCTAAATGTGGTGAATTCTTTTATGAATAATGAAGTCTATTTCATGTGAAACCAGGCTGGTTTCATGGTGTTGATTTGTCATTTTATAACTATTATCTGGTTCTATATTATAATGTATCATTTATAACTATAACTCTTCTAAGTCACAGCAATGGGAAGCTTCCCAGGGTCTCAGATGGGGTTCGTGAGCTTTACTATTTTAAAGGTGCAGCCTCTGACAAGAGATGCCTCTGCTCTGCGTCTTTCTGTGTTATGTCCTACACACTTTACCAGTTGATCTGTGCCTTTTCTTTGCAGTTAGTCAATTGGTGCCAAATGACATCTAAATGACCTTGGGTTTAAATCACACTCCCATAGTTCATCTGCCCCCCCCCCACACACACGTGTGACAAGACAGGAAACTGTTTCATTGATAAACTGATTTTAATATGTGCCGTTGGCTGACAAGAAGCCATATGTCATCCATCCACGTGTGACCCGGCCATTGACGCCAACATGTCACCTTCTCTCTTGTAGATGGGAAGGTGGTGGAGCCTGACATGTCCGCGGGGTTTTGCCCAGATCACAAGGCAGCCATGGTTTTGTTCCTTGACAGGGTCTATGGGATTGAGGTGCAAGATTTCCTCCTCCACCTCCTCGAGGTTGGCTTTCTGCCAGATCTCCGAGCTGCGGCTTCTCTAGACACGGTATGATATGGAAAACGCACTCTCAGCACACTGAGCCTCATGATGCTCACTCACCTGCTTGTTGTCCACCAACACAGAGAACTGCTGTTTTCAGACAAGCAGTGGGTAAACAGAAAATAAATAGACCATGCCCTCCAGTTCCCTGACTAGCCAAACTGACAGCTTTTAAAGTGATGATAAGAAATCTGATAAGATGCTAAGCGAGCCAAGTGGTTCATCCATGCTCAATTTGGGAGGTCATAGGGATGACCTTTAATCTCTGTTCACTATGAGCCTCTAAACTGGCCTAGGGATGGGGAGACAGCTCAGTCAGTGAAGCACTTTCACGTAAGCATGAAAACCTGAGTTTGAGCCTCCAGAAACCAAGTAGAAAAGCCACTTGAGGGGGGAGGAGGAGACCTGAGGACCCTGGCGAGGGCTGCCCATCCAGTACAGCTGAGTCAGCAAGCTCCAGGTTCAGCAAGGGATCGATCTCCAAACATAAGGTGGACAGTGATTAAGGAAGACATCAACATCTGACCTCCAGACACATGCACACACATGTGCATACACACGTAGACACATGAATACGTGTACGTGTACTTAGAATAAAACAAAATAATAAGTAACTAAATTATCCTAAATAGATATACTTCTCACTGAATTGACCATGTGTGGCAACACACACCTTTAATCCCAGCACTTCGGGGGCAGAGGCAGGTAGATGTCTGTGAGTTTGTAGGCCAGCCTGGTCTACATATTGAGTTCCAGGCCAGCTGGGGCTACAGGGAGACCCCGTCTCAAAAGCATACAAAGAAGCAAACAAAAATGCTTTTTAAAATATTTTATTTATTGTTTTTATCTTATGTGTATGAGTATATTGCCTGCAGATAGGTAGGTGCACCTGTGTCCTATAGTGCCTAGAGGCCATCAGATCCCTGGAACTGGAGTTATGAACAGTTGTTAGCCGCCATGTGGGTGCTGGGAATTGAACCCAGACCCTCTGCTAGAGCAGCCAGGCCTCTTATCTGCTGAGCCATCTCTCCAACCCTGCAATCAAAAATGTTAAAACAATTGAATGGTCACTGCTGGATCAGGGCTGTTGCAATTGCATCAGGGAGTCTCCATCTGCCAAAGTGCAGGCTGGCTATAATCTGCCCGTGTATCGATGGTGCCCCAGAGGATCTGCCGTCAACAGTCACAGTGTGCTGCTCTCTGAATCGTGGTTGAATAAGGTGGCACTCCAAACACCATTGCGGTTGTTCCTCCTTTGATTTACTTATTCATTTTAATAATTAAATGGACCTTCTGGTCTCAGGGAAAATTGGATCGTGAGTTAAAAAAAAAAAAATCCACGGTTGCAAAAATCATAAAAGTGAACTGAAAGTTTCATCTGTTTTGCTGTATGTTCACTTGAAATTCTGAACCTGAAGAGCAGAGAAGCCAGTGAGGCCATAATGGTAATTGGCTTCTCATGACTGGCACTCAGGGGTCTGGGGAGAAGTCCGTGAATGACATTAACCAAGTGAATTCAGAATGGAAACGTGAATCTGAGGTCTATTGAGAAGTACTGATTGGCGGCCTCCTCTCTCACTGATCCCGTGAGCTCTGCGTATGCTCAGAGCTCACTCACGCCTAGTCAAGTTGACAGTATTTCTTCAGGCCTCCCCTGGGCATCGGGATAAAGCTGTTTACTAAGTTTAGAGTACTTTCCTGGATGTTAGGGGAGGTGGTGGTGTCTTAGCCCTGAGCTTGGACCTTGAGCTCTTTCATGGCATTAACTCCTGTCTGCTTAGCATAGTTGATGGTTGTAAGTGGTAGAGATCATATGAAGCACATGTAAAGACCAGTGTAAGGACTACATTTCTAGATGCCATGCTGTTCACTCTTTTACCACATGGTGAGATTCACTTGTTGAGTCCTTTGCTGATCACACAAGGCTGTGTCCTCTCATTCCTTTCCAGGCTGCTCTGAGTGCTACAGACATGGCCTTGGCCCTCAATCGATACCTTTGCACAGCTGTCCTGCCTTTGTTAACAAGGTGTGCTCCGCTGTTCGCGGGCACAGAGCACCATGCTTCCCTCATTGACTCTCTGCTGCACACCGTGTACCGACTGTCAAAGGGCTGCTCCCTCACCAAGGCTCAGCGAGATGCCATAGAAGTGTGCCTGCTGTCTATTTGTGGGTAAGCGAGGGCTCACTGTGCCAGATTTCTTCTTTACTATGTGGCCCGTGCTGAGTTATGAACTTGGAAATGTTTTCTATCTCAACAATTCAATTTATGTGGTCCTGTATCCAGAGGCCTGAATCTTAATGTTGGTTAGAACTGTCCACCAGTGTGTTGGTTAGTTGTAACTTTCAACTTAACACACAACCTGGGGATAGAGGTTCATTGAGGAATTAGCTAAGGTTGGTCTGTGGACATGGCTGTGGGGAACTGTCTTGATTATTAACTGATATAGGAAGACCCAGCCTGTTGTAGGTGGCACCATGCCCTAGGTAGGGGACCTTGAATAGTAAGAAAGGAAAAAGCAAGTTCGGATTCTTGCAGAACACAGTAAGCTGTGCCTGTGAGTAACCAGAAAGGGGCAGAGCAGAAGAGAGGCCTCCCCAGGAACACTCGGGGGTGTCTGCAGATCTAGGTGGTAGAGATGAGTCCAGAGATAAGACCTTAATGTTTAACCTTAAGGTTAAACACAATCATTGTTGCTTAAGACTAGGCTATTTCAGAGAAACATGTCGGTAGGTGATTTGGTTGTTGTGTGAAGACCGCAGAATGGACCAGCAGAATCCTACAGCCACATGCCAATCACTCAGCATGACTTTTTGATGTATTTAGGGGACTTAATAGACTTCCAGTGACTGGGTGTGTGGCTTAGTACAATACCCTTTGCCCAGCATGCTCAAGACTTTGAGTTCTGTCCCCAGCACTGTACGGTGACAAGAAGGAGGGAGGGAGGGAGAGAGAGTGAAATTTGACAAATATGAGATTGGGGCTAATACCAGTAGAGTGGGGTAAAATCCATGAAAGAGTGACATGGCTCTTATTTTTCACTGGTATTATGCACACATACTACATACAGTTGTATGCGCTGAACTTGCATCCAGTTGGAAGTGCAGTAGGTCCATGTGCACCAGCACCACCGCAGACATATGAGGCGCTCGTTGCACTGTCACACCAGCCTTTATGTCTTGTAAGCAGACAGGACACTGTTGTGTCTGTAGTCCTTCACTGACTAAAACATCATTGTGCTGTGTGTAACTGAAACTCTTAGCTAATCTTTGAGCTAGAAGTACCTGGTTGCTGTTATCTGAAGAGAGAGGTCCAGGGTCTTGGTGTATAAAGTCTAATGAATTCTCTAGGGGCTTTAGACCTCACTTTTCTTTATTACAATTGACTTTGTTCCAACAGCCAACTGCGACCTTCCATGATGCAGCACCTGCTCAGAAGGCTGGTATTTGATGTTCCACTTTTGAATGAGCATGCCAAGATGCCTCTTAAGGTAAACATGAGTGACACTTGTAATTACCTGATTACCATTTCATCTGATTTGGTTTCTTGTCACTACATGTGTGTCTCCCAGATTTCGTGTGCTTGGTCTCTGGTGCTGTGAATTTCTCCCAGTTAATGAAATGACCTTGTGAGTTATTGAAGTATGTATTATATAACCCTGAAATAAGTAATAAAAGATTACAGAATCCTTAACATTGATTTCCATGGAAATCAATTGACATGCATTTACCACAAAGAAAAGTTCAACCAAGATGTTCTTAGTCTAGACAGCATACTCACACATCTGGCCTGAATATGATTACCAACTTTTGCAGATAGGTAATCCTTGAAAGGTTCCAACTAGCATCTCATAGAGTTCAGGAGAGCCTTTCTATATACGTGCTTACCGTGTACCATGCAGCACAGAAAAGCCATCTTTACTGTTCAGTTCATGCACATTCAAGTCTCACTCTGTCTGACTGACCTCCAGATGGTCTGTGCACCCCAGCGTGATGATAAAGAAAGGAACCTGTTCTACACAAATACCTAGCAGATACTTAACACCTTCTATGACCACTTAAGACAGCACTGTAGACAAAAGGCTTGAGATATACTTAAGTCGGTTTTAAATTGTTATACGACACATACCTGGATATTTGGCAAAAATAACCTTTCCCTATGAATATTGATTTTTGGTTTAATAAATGCAGATAAATTAATGAATTAGGTAAGTTACATCCTGCCCCACCCCAATCTCATTTTATACAGTTTTCTTTGTGTAAGGGAGGCCTTGTTAGGCAGTTTTTTCCTGGTAACAAGTAAGTTGAGAGACGATGGATAAATATAGTAACGCTTTCTTATCTGTAATAACAATAAAATTCTTTTACATTATAGATTTTGAAATTTTAATTTATTCTTTGATAATTTCGTAGTTACCCCAGTGAAGTTAGGTCTCAATATTCCATTATTTGGGGTTCCTAGATTGTGTGCATGTGTGTGTGTGTGTGACACTATATGTGTATATTTGTGTCTATATATCTGTATCATCTCTGTGTAACTGAAAAGGACACTAAACAAAAAGAAATATTCCAATAGGAAGAGATATAGCTATCTCTAATAACAACAATAACTTATATTTTCCCCCTTAGATATGGAAATAAATGAGAATCTAAACATTTATTCATGATTCTTGCAGGTCATCCTATAAATTTAGTTCACAAATGAATTTTCCAAATAACTGCTGATTAACTGAAAGTTTTTCTCATGTAGATGTAAATTACAAAGAGAATCAACTATTGTCACCAAACAAATGCAGAGTCTTTTTCAAATTTGCTTAGGGAAACAAATTTTGATACCATCACATGTAATAAGTAAGGCAGAGAGGAAACAATAATTGCAGTGTGTAGATCCCATGTAATGTCTCTGGGTCATTCTTCCCTCCAGCTCTTGATCTTCTGCCTGAATTCTAGGAGAAAATTATGAATGGATTCCAGGCAGTAATACATCATAGAACTGTGAGTCAAAGAGCAACAAAGCAAGAACTGGGAAGACAATAGCCAAACAGCATCAGCAAGATGCTGTTCAAGATGCGTTCTCATTTCTGTTGTGTTCTTTTTAATTATGTGTGTCTGTGTGTGGGTATGTGCATATGAATGCAGTGCCCTCCAAGGCCAGAAGAGGGCGCTGGAGAGCTGGAACTATAGGTGGTTGTGAACTGCCTGATGTAGTGTTGGTGCTAGGAACCAAATTTGCAAAAGCAGCAAGCAGTCTTAATCCCTGAGCCAGCCCCTCCAGCCTCATCAAGATACATTTTCAAAGTTAAACATTTGGTTCACAATTTTTACTGTCAAATTTGTGTGTCAAATTTGAAAGAGTCATAGTATTCAAGCAATTTTATTTTCCCAGAGATGTCCCATGGATTTGAGCATTTCCCTTCCATGGACCTTATTCCACAGCATTCAGATGTCACAGAAAGGGGTGGAAAAGTCAAGAATCAATCTTGTTGATTTTGTAATTGCTTCCCTACACAGCTGCTGACAAATCACTATGAAAGATGCTGGAAATATTACTGCCTGCCTGGAGGGTGGGGCAACTTTGGAACTGCCTCTGAAGAAGAACTTCATTTATCAAGAAAGTTATTCTGGGGCATTTTTGATGCCCTGTCTCAAAAGGTAGTTGAAGGTTTTTGTGAACTTTTTTGTGTTGACAAAGTGCTAAAATGGTGCAGGTTCCAAACAGGGTCTCCCTGTGTCCCATTGGCTGGCTTAGAACTTGTTGTGCAGACCAAGCTAGCTGGAATTCACAGAGATCATCTGCCTCTGCCTCCTGAGTGTGGGGATTAAAGGTGTGGGCCGCCACACCTGGCCCAGCTGCAGGTCCTTGATAATAAAGTATTCAGAGTGGGATAATACCTTGACTAATCAAGACTTGCATAGTGCCAGATGTGGTGGTACATGACTACATTTACAGCACATGGGAGGCTGGGAGACTGAGGCAGGAGGATCAGGTCCATCTTGGACTAGATAAAGAAGTCCAGCTTAGTGTATAGGGTGTGACCCTGTAAAACAAAACAGAAAAGAAAAATGTTTATATAGTTTCATTTTTTTCATTTATTAATAATGCATACTGAGAAATACATTGATTTTTTCATAATCTCTGTGATTTGCACATAATCCGTGCATTCTCTGTGATCGTAACCCTGCATCTGAAATTAAAATAGACAAGGATTTCAAATAATCAGACACACAGTAGATGGTGCGTTGAAGGTTATCTCAGATTCAAATTTTCCCTAGCTAGCTCTCCAATCTTAGAAAGCCTCAAGGAACTACATCAAATTCTAGAATGTCAATAGAAAGTATTGTGAAATTAGTGTACTCCAGTTGCCCCCCAACTTCTTTTGTTCAGCAGCCATGGAAATTTAGGCTCTTCCTCTTGCTGTCTCTTTGCCCATGTGGCATTAAATCACAATTACCAGATTAATAATGAATATTTCATGTATTTTCATGTGACTGGAAGGTAGGGCTATAAGAGAAAATAAAACCCGTACATTTGTTAAGTCTATCCTCAAGTTGATCGCCATGTCTGAATTCCAGAAGAAACTATGGCATGATTAGAATAATGTAGACATATTTTTGTTGTTTCCCAGGAAGATAAATCTATAGCTATATCTGGTAGTTATATTTTGATGTTTTTTCTTCTTACTCAACTTCCTCTAATACTCGATATATAGGTATTTTGAAAACCATTTACAATATGAATTGAAAACTGAAAAATTTGAAGTGAGAGAATTTCTCTTTTTAAAAAAGCTT